CTCCCGCGGTGCCTGAGGGCCTATGCGGGCCGAGGCGCTGCGAGGCCGTGGGGCGCCGTGGGAGCGGCTGCCCGCGCACGGCACGTTCATGCGGGGCGAGGAGGGGGCGGGCGGTGCGGGACGCGGGTTGTGCGTACGGAGCGATCGCCTGCAGCCTCAGCACGTGGGTGTGGGACACGGCTCTGCGCGGCCTTCTGGTCACAACCACGGGCAGCCCTACAGGGCTGGGGAGGAGTGGCTGGAAAGCTGCCTGATGGAAAGGGACCTTGGTGTGCTGATGGGCAGTCGGCTGAATATGAGCCAGCAGTGTGCCCAGGTGGCCAAGAAGGCCAGTGGCATCCTGGCTTGTAACAGGGATGGTGTGGTAAGCAGGACGAGGGAAGTCATCCTGCCCCTGTACTTAGCACTGGTGAGGCCTCACCTGGAGTGCTGTGTTCAGTTTTGTGCACCTCAGTACAGACAGGACATGGTGCAGGTCCAAAGAAGGGCAACTAGGCTTGTGAAGGGCTTGGAGAATATGGCCTATGAGGAGAGACTGAAGGAACTGGGGCTGCTCAGGCTGGGGAAATGGAGGCTGAGGGGAGACCTTACTGCTCTCTTCCAATACCTGAAAGGTGCTTACAGCGAGAGTGGGGCTGGTCTCTTCTCACTGGTGACAGGTGACAGGACGAGGGAAAATGGCCTCAAGTAGCGCCAGGGTAAGTTTAGGTTGGACATCTGGAAAAACTTCTTTCAGAAAGGGTTGTTAAGCACTGGAATAGGCTGCCCAGGGAGGGGTTGAGTCACCATCCCTGGATGTGTTTAAAATCCATTTGGATGTGGTGCTCAGGGACATGATTTAGCAGACGGTTGTTACTTAGGGTAGCATGGTCAGGTTGTGATTGCACTTGGTGATCTTTAAGGTCTTTTCCCAGCTGAGCAATTCATGATTCTATGAAAAACATATCAGCCAGGAAATGTTGGAATTATTAAGGGAAAGAGAGGGAATGTGGCAGAGAACATCTGTGATACCACAGTATAAATGAATGATCACCTTTATCTTAAGTGCAGCATACAGCTGCAGTTCCCCCATCACAGGCAGGGGTGTGTGAGAAGAGGTGAATGAGGGTTAGTGAATACAGGGAGGCCCTGCTAAGGGACAGGAGTCAGGAGCTGCAGGGGGAGTGGCCTGTGCATGGCTGTGAAGTGGTGGGGTGGTATGAAGTGGGGTCACACATCAGTTTCTTTCCTTCCCCTGCATCTAGTGGATCCGGTAGCCATCTTCACTGCAAGAAGAGGTGGGGTTTCATAATGTGGAACTTGCTGCTGTGGGGGGACACTATAGATCACTTTATGTGTATTTAAGGATACTGGGCAAGGGTCTGTTAGAGAACTGCATTCACAGAATAAATCACTTCAGCCAGAAATGCCCTTCATGGAGAAAGAGATTATAGACTGGGAGAAGGCAGAGTGAGTTAAGTGTCACCTCTGATTACTTGCCTTAGTCTCACTCTCCAGGACAGCTGGTTCTGGCTGTCTTCAAGATACTTCAAGAACAAGCACCAACCCTTGTCTGAACTAGTGAAGCTTCTCTTTTGAACCTCTTGCTGTGGATGTTAATGAAAGTTCTTCAGAGATCCCAAAATGGAGCTGTTTTTGGACTATGAATGCCCCAGGTTCACATCTCCGACTTGTCCCTCCTTTCTTCCCAGTTCTGTTTTGCATGCAGGTTTGTCAGGCCTTCTTTTCTGATGTTCCCCCCTCCTGGGATCCCCCTCAGTGGCTGTTTGATGCTACTGGGCCCCAAAGCCTTGCAGCTGGTTGACAAACATCCCAGATATTTGGGGAGTTTTGTTTCACCTTGGGAAGACCCTATGAAACAGATGCACATATGGCCTAGCACCTTTCAGGTTCTTCTGGCTGCACTATGCTAAGAGGATTGTTGTGGTTGTTACTTTGGCTGCTGTACTTAATATGCTTTGTCCTGTCAGCCCCTCTTGTGAAATTTGGCATTCTTGTACATTTGGCAGTGCTCAGGTAATTTGTCAGATCCTTGAGCAAAAACTGAGCTTCCACTAAATTGCTTTTCAGATTTAAAGATCTGAACTTCAAAGGAGGGGTCCTTTCTGTGTCGGGGTGATTTCTGTTTGGAGCAGGACAGCTCAGAGAAGTCTGCTGCTCTGCGTGCCTGCTTGGCTGCTGGCTGCTGGTGGAGACCTGGGCTTAGGATCCTTGCATTCAGTGGCTGGAGCATGAACAAAGCCCCTTGCTTTTCAGGTAGCAAGGCATGTGTCCAGCTTTGGAGTAACTCCCGTCCCCTGATGGAGACTTGTTCACCTCCAGCCAACTCTCCTGATGCTGTATTGCTGCCCAGGTTTTCTTGGCACATGTTTCATATGTCATCAATGACAGGCTCTGTGCTTCAAATGCTAACATGGGTGGCTTGGGAAAAATACTGCTATGTTTTATTCAGTTGCACACTGCTCTTAGATCTGTGCTATACTAGAATTGTCTTTTCTGAAGTTGCACGTGCACGTTTTATATACTTGATAAGAGATTGCAGGAGCTAACAGCATCCTTCCTTCCCTCACAGAGGTTAACAGCGCCAGTTCTCAGTGGCATTAATATTCCTTGGCTTTCCAGTAGTCTTTCCTTCCTTTAGTTAAGGGACGTTTATTGCAGTGAGATTACTTCTTCAGGGTACCATAAAGGGGTGAGTACTGGAAACTGGCAGAGCAGCCACGTTTCCCTCTACTTGTGCACACGTCATTCCATATTTCTGCATTACACAGATGATAGGGAAGCCTGACCTGCAGCCACAAGTTGGGTTGAACTCTCCCCTGGCAGAAAAGTGGTAGTTAGCTGTGGTGCAGTCTGGAGGTAAAAGTTCTGGAGGAGCAGCTGCCTGCTTCAAGAGAATTTTTGATGTAGTTTCGTAAATATGTGTTCCACCTTGTGCTGCCTCTTGAACATTCCTCCTGAGTACTGTTGTGGCTCTGGAAGGATCTGATCTCATCTTCTGTAGTTGTGGGGTAAGCAGTGATGCATGGACTTGCAGCCTAACCTAGCTGGATGGGTGTGAGTTCCCAAGCTTCTGCTGTAGGAGCACAGGCACATCTGTGTGCAGGAGCTGCGCTGTTTTTCACAGAGTGCTGGTTTCCAGATGTCTGCATGTTCCTAACTATGGATGGACCAAATGTACTGGGGCACAGAAAGACTATGAAAGCCCTTAGGAATTTTTGAGTGAGTTAGTTTTTCCACAGTGTTCCTTCTGACTTTGTCTCCACTTCAGGGCTTAGCTGTGTAAAATTAGAGTTTGTTTTCATACATGAGAGCTGGAAACCAGCATTAAATTGTACAGTATTGCTCCGTAGATGAGGCAGTAAAGTCTTCTGTGCTGCTATTTCCACTTGGTATTATTACCTCTTTGTTATTTTTTTTAGAAGAGTTTTCGCACAGAAGCGGTGCATCCACCCAAACAGCTCAGCAGCTGGCAGGGGCTCAGTAGGGGCTCAGCTGTGCACGGACAGGGCTCTGCAGGCACCTTTCCCTATCCTGCAAGCTGTGGGCTGTGGAGTGCAGTGTGTGGTGTTGGTGCACTCCCTCTGCTCATTCAGTGGGTCAGGCTGCCCCTTTGGAATCGAGCAGCATTCACATAACAGTAAATCAGACTTGACACATTGCTAGCTTTAAACTCTGTATTCCTATTGATCGTGCTTAGAGGCACTGTGGGTTCCTCTGCTTCGTCCCATCCTTCCTCAACTTTCAGGGCTGTTTTTGAACTTGAGAGCAGCAATGTGTGGGACGGCTGCAGAGGGTTTCAAGAAGTAGTGCCTCACAGAATCACAGAATCATTAAGGTTGGAAAAGACCTATAAGATCATCCAGGCCAACCATCCACCTATCACCAATGGTTCTCGCTAAACCATATCCCTCAACACAACATCCAAACGTTCCTTGAACTCCTCCAGGGAAGGGGATTCCACCACCTCCCTGGGCAGCCCATTCCAGTGCCTGACCACCCTTTCAGAGAAGTAGTATTTCCTAATATCCAGCCTGAATCTTCCCTGGCGCAGCTTGAAACCATTCCCTCTAGTCCTATCACCGGTTATACGGGAGAAGAGGCCGACCCCCAGCTCGCTACAGCCTCCCTTCAGGTAGTTATAGAGAGCAATAAGGTCTCCCCTGAGCCTCCTCTTCTCCTGACTGAACAATCCCAGCTCCCTCAGCTGCTCCTCATAAGGCCTGTGCTCCAGACCCCTCACCAGCTTTGTTGCCCTTCTTTGAACACGCTGCAGGGCCTCAATGTCTTCCTTGCAGTGAGGGGCCCAAAACTGGACACAGTACTCAAGCTGCGGCCTCACCAGATCTGAGTACAGGGGGACAATTACTTCCCTACTCCTGCTGGTCACACTACTTCTGATACAAGCCAGGATGCCATTGGCCTTCTTGGCCAGCTGGGCACACTGCTGGCTCATGTTCAGCCGAGCATCAATCAATACCCCCAGGTCCATTTCCTCTACACAGTCTTCTAGCCACTCCGCCCCAAGCCTGTAGGTTGCTGTGGCCAAAGTGAAGAACCTGGCATTTGGTCTTATTAAACCTCATCCCATTGGTTTCAGCCCAGCTCTCCAGCCTGTCCAGATCCCTCTGTAGGGCCTCACTACCCCCAGGCAGATCGACACTTCCAGCCAACTTGGTGTCATCCGCAAACTTACTGAGGGTGCACTCAATGCCCTCATCCAGGTCATCAATAAAGACATTGAAAAGGACAGGCCTCCTGATCACTTGAAAACAAAGGAATTTACAAGTCTTGTTCTCATAAGTTCACTTACTGTAATAGTTTTATAATGTAAGTCATGTGCATAAAAACGTCTTCATGCTGATGACCTAAGTCAGTCAATGTAGACAATGTACGTTCATTCATCCAGGCTGGATGTGGCTCTGGGCAGCCTGGTCTGGTGGTTGGTGACCCTGCACATAGCAGAGGGGTTGAAACTAAATGACCATTGTAGTCTTTTTCAACCCAGGCCATTCTATGATTCTGTGATTCAGAAAAGTGTTTTGAGGTTTGGAAGTGTTCCAAATAGATGGACCTCGTGGTATTTCTGCCATGTGTTCCGAGTTACCTTTCCTTGCAGCCTCGCAGTTAATTGCTGCTTGGTTCCTGAAGCTTTACTATGCAAACCAAAAGGAAGATTGCTAAAAAGGAGCTAAAATAACATGTAGAAAAAAGATACCTCTACTTGTATGCCCGCCCTTCCACCAAAACAACGGATCTTAGCTTCTGTCAGTGAGGATTTCATTTCATGTGTATAGATTCAGTCTTTGCAAAGGCCCAGATGGGGTCATTGAGCATAAAATCAAAATTTCAGCTTTTGACTTAAGAATTGCAAGTTTGCATCTGTTTCAGCTTCTTAGCATCAGAGCATAGATGTGTGCATGCTTTAGGGATAACAGCAAACCAGATTTCTGCATGTGTGACACACTTACTTTTTATCTCACACCTTCTCTTTAATTAATTTGTAACGTCTGTCTCAACAAAAAATGTTCTTGTACAGGGTCACGATGCGTGTTAGCAATATGTGTAGTCAAGAAGTAGGAACAGAAGGAAGTGTTGTGTTGTTCCCAGGTGGGCTGGCTCCAGCATCCCTCCATCCACCCATCCATCCCTGCAGGAGGCAGCTGATGAGCTGTGTGTCGCAGCACCCCGTGTGCCACCAGAATGGCACAGCAGTTGCTGTAGTGTGGAGGTGAGCTGTGGAGTATTTCAGCAAGCAGTGAGAAACGGAGTTTTAGGAAATGTCCTGAAAGCTCTGCAGGAGCGCACAGCACGGATGGAAGAGCAAAATGAGAAGGCCGTGAGCATTGCAGCCTCCACTGCAGCCAAGGGTGGAAGAAATGTGAAGCAGCTCTAGTTCAGGTGAAGCATACTTCACCTTGGAAATTAGCTGTGGTTCAGGTGGCACGTGTTGCTGCGGGACCTCTGACATGCACAGCTTCTGCCCAAAGGAAGGGGCACATCTGCTTTCAGTTCTGTTGAAGTCATTGCACGTCTATAAGTTCGTGGAACGAGTGGAGAGGAAATTAGTTTCTTAAGAGAGTAAGTTTCACAGGCCCAATTGATTTCTGCTTGTCACCCTTGCTTCCACGAGGTGGCGGTGCCTCTGCTGGGAAGGACAGCGGTGCTCAGCTCCTGCCCGTGGTGCACTGAGCTGCACGGTGGTGGCACCTGGCTAACAAATGTCTGGCAGTGGCTCTGCTTGGTCGTCCTTCTGACATGAGCTCTGTCTGTGTTGGACACACAAGACAGTCATGCAGTGTTAGCTTAAAAAAGCATCCTTCTGAGCATCTCGTCTGCTTCAGGTTTGTAGTATACAGAGGAGTCTTGTTACAGTGTGGGAGGTGAAGCCGGGTGATCCTCGAACACTGGTTTATTCATTTGGAGTCAAAATTGTGACTTTACAACATGGCAAGAAATGATTGGCAGCTATCGTTATGTCTAGGAGGGAAGGGTAAATATTCCAAAGGATTTGCAGCATCCATTAAAGCTTTTTGTTTTTTTTTCAGCAAGATAATACAAAAGTGGTGTTTGGATGCAGGGATACAAAATGTCATGACAACATCCCTATAAAAATATAAGCCGCTTCTGTGTTGTGCAGAAAGGAAACAGCTCCCGTATTCTCTCTGGAGACGCGCTCTTTGCATTCTGCCTCTGACTGGTTTAAAGCTGCTAAGCAGAGGGAGCATGCTGTGCCCTGTAGGAGGCTTTCCTAGTTAGCTGTCAGACTGAGCCCATGGTGTCAGGAATGTTGGTTTTTTTTTCCTTGGGAAAGCGGGCTGTTATTAAAAGCTTCCACCATTGAAAAGGGTTAATATATATATATATTTTTCCCTTTGGGCAATGTCTAGGAAAATGGATGATGATGATGATGACGTTCCCCAGCTTTCATCCCATACATTGGCTGCCCTCCAGGAGTTCTATTTGGAACAGCAGCAGAGAGAGGGCATGAAGACCTCCCAAGGGTTTAATCAATATTCTGTTGGCTCAATAGAAGAAGACTGGGTAAGAAACTAACCTGCAGCAAATGAGGCACTTTGGTTTCACCGAGCTTTCTTTCATGGATAGATAATAAAAAAGTGAACACTCGAGGTGTTCCTAGAGTGGCCAGGCTGTTTGTGGAAGTTAACACTGTAGGGTTGTTCACTTTAAAATCAAGTCAAGTCAATTACATGAAGAAAGGGAATAAAGTTCCCAACAGAATCCTCTGTGCCCTCTTGACACTGAACTCCAGCCTGGTGTGTGAGGGTAGTGAAGATTGTTCCTTGGGTTTGAAACAACACAGTGTAACAAGAAGGAATATGCTTTCCTTCCACATGTATTTTTGCTTGTGTTTATTTTTTTGGTTGTGTGGGTGGATGCCTTGCTGCATTTTTTTATCTCACAGACTGACTTTTGTCTCTGAGTTTGTTTTTTTACTCCTTCTGTTTCTGATCTCATTTGGTACTTTTTTCCTTTATTTCCTCCTACATTGTCGTTTTTCAAGTTTTTTTTTTCCTTTTCCACTGAAGTAACATCAATTTAAGCACATGTTTATTTTGCATTTCTGCATATTGGGTTTGAACTAACCCTGCCAATGATTGGTTCTCCTGCTACCATAGGTAAGTGTTTTATAAAACACACAATGCAAACTGCCTGCTGTTTGTCCTTGGTTTTCGGAAGTAGAAAGCTTCTCTAGAAAATGTCATCTTTGTAGTTTGTGAACCAAGAAGTTGCAATGGATTTAGGTTTTCTTCAAATAGGGCTCTCAACCCCATTGTTCACAGTCAGAAGATATGATGTTGCTTATAATTGTGCATTATTTTTCTCAGCAATTGAGCCAGTTTTGGTACAGTGATGAGACTGCATCGTGCCTGGCTAATGAAGCGATTGTGGCAGCAGGAAAAGGTGGCAGGTAGGACTTAGTAGCTACTTTGTAGGTTTAACGTGTCTTTTCTGTAATTGTTCCATTTATGCAGAGAGAGCATGCAGTGTAATTCATTACTTTTTGTACCTTCTCTTCCTTTGGTGGAGGTGTTGCAGAAATGCCTTGCCATTACTTAATCAGTAGTTCCTACTGAACTTGTTCTGAATTGCAGTGAATGTTGTAGGCTCTGCTGGACAGAATCATAGAATCCGTAGAGTTGGAAGGGACCTTTAAAGGCCATCTGATCCAACCCTGCCATGAACAGGGACACCTACAGCTCCATCAGGAGCTCAGAGCCCCGTCCAACCTGACCTTGAGTGTCTCCAGGAACGCGGCATCCACCACCTCTGTGGACAACCTGTGCCAGTAACAGAAGTTTACTACGGATCTTTTTTTCTTTTTTTTCCCCTGAGAAATACAATGAGCTCCAGAGCACGTTAATGACTTCTAATTCTTTTTCCTATTTTCATACATTTCTGCAGAACAGACGGAAAAACTTTTCCCTCTTAGTTCTGCAAGGCTTTTCATTTGAAAATGAGTTTTCAAATTACCTGGGGCAAAAGTTTGAGACTTTTCCCACAGCAGCCCTGAGAACTTACATATTTTATGTGTCTTTTTTCAGGATAGCCTGTGTCAGCGCACCCAGTGTGTACCAGAAGCTGAAAGAACAGGATGGCGCAGATTTTTCCGTGTATATCCTGGAGTATGACAGAAGGTTTTCTGTGTATGGAGAAGAATTTATCTTCTATGATTACAACAACCCTTTGAACTTACCTGAACATCTCCTGCCACACAGTTTTGACATTGTAGTAGCAGATCCACCCTATTTGTCCGAGGAATGTCTTCAAAAAACTGCAGAGACCATCAATTACTTAACAAAAGGAAAGATTCTGCTTTGCACAGGTATAATTAATAACAATATGTAGATCGCCAGTAAGCTGCTCTTCTTCTGTCTCAAAAGGCAAACGTATTCAAGTGAGAAAAATCCCAACTCAGTAATACTAATCCATAGGTAATTCTGGGAAGAATTGACCAGAAGAGGGTAAGCTTGTACTGCTTTAGTTCTGCATTTATTTTTCATTGAAGATATGTGTATTTTAATGGTTAAAATCTGTACCTTTTTCTTACTGCGTTATGAGTTTTACTGAATTATTGAAGAACAATTGAGATCACCCTGCAAAGTTGTAAAATATTTTTTTCTTGTAAAAGATACATTCTTTAGAATTGTAGTGACTGAAATTCTGGCTGTGACAAACAGAGGTGTGACTTACTGTTGAATTTCTGATTTCCTAAGCATGTCTGTAGCTGCAAGTTTTCAGCTGCTGAATTTAGCAAAATCTAAGGTGAACTAAATAGAAAGACACGTAGGTTAGCATGGCCTTTGCCTGGTGAAGTGGGATGGTTTCAGCTAAGTCTTCCAAAGAAAAATGAGAAAAAGACAACTTTTTTCTTTTTCTTTTCCACATCAGCTGCTCCTCACTGGTAAATATAGCAATTGCAGTGTGAACAAGCACTGGAAAATTCTGCCATTGGTTCAAATAATTGGTTCTTAGGCATTGAAATGCAGCAAGAGGAATTAAAAATTGGTGATCTGGAAGACTTACTGAGTGCATTTGCCAGGCCTTCTTCATGAAGATGCTCTCAATAGCTTTAAGAAGCTACGAGCATCTGCCTTGGCTGTGGTGGTTCTTAAAGCTGTAGTCTTATAGTAAGTTGTCTGCAGACATTCAAGAAGCTTTTGCAAAGCAAAAACCAAAGGACAAAAACCCTCTGTATGTACAATTCTGGGCAGTCAACCAAGTAGGCAAAACAGAGAAAAATGAAAATAACATGTGGACAAAGAAAGTTTACTTCTTTGTTTAATTGTAAAAGACAGGCATGCATAAAAGTAGTTCTGAGATTTTTTTTTTTCCCTAAAATGGATATGTGGGCCTTCAGTTTACACCATTTGACAAATACTCTTCAAGAAAACGATTTCTCAGCATGGAGCCATAAATATCACACTGTGGTTTATTTAAATAAAATAGTATGTGTAATCTGTTTGCATTTCCCATGCTCCCCACCATGAGATTTCTCTGCCACGTAGCAGCAAGATGGAGTTTACATTTTTCTTTTCTGTGAAAGGGGCACTGATCTTACCCCTCTACCTATTTTTAAGAAACTTTGAGGCTGTTCTTCCATTCTTTCATGCTTAAATAGCCCAAAATAGCAGTTGTTGAAGAGACAGTTAACAAAGTGACGGTGCAGCTGCTTTGAGTCTGTTCTCTAAAGAAAAAAGAGGCAGACCATTGGGAGGAGCTAATAAGAAGTCCAAACATTCTGATATTGTTACTGGTTTCTCACCACCTACCCATTATTTTTGCTGCAGGTGCAATCATGGAGGAACAGGCAGCAAAGCATCTTGGTGTGAAGATATGCAAGTTTATTCCAAAACACTCTCGAAATCTAGCTAATGAATTTCGATGTTATGTGAACTATGCTTCTGGACTGGACTGATTTCTGGGAGAAGATCTGGAACTTTCTCAGGAGATCTGGAACTTTTTCAATCAAGTTACTTTGTATTTTTTTCTCAGTGACTCCACAATGCTGAAACATTCCACTCCAAGCAGTATTTTCTGGGCTAGAAGTAATCAACACAGGATGATAGTGTTTCTCTTTTAAATGTGTAAGCATTTGCAATTGTTGTTTACCTTACTCCTTAGGTAAGTGGGGACACAAACAATGCAGGTTCTGCATAATGGTAACTTCTTTGTTAGAGTTCCATTCCAACCAGTAGTTTTTACCATTGGAGTACTTTTCTGTGACTTCTCTGAAATGATTTTAGCTGGTTGGGCTGTAACACCATGTGGGTGCTTGCCTGACAGACATCAAAACTGTCAGCTGTGTCAGAACTGATGACTTGGTAGCTTGCGGATGGTTGAGAGAGCATGAATATTGGTCTCACCTTTCAGAGCTGTTTGTTCCGAACATGATGTGCTCAGATTCATTATCCAGCAGGCTGATATTTTTATAAAGAATAACTAAAGAGAAAACACATCTCCTTCTGGGTAGGTCTCTCCAGTTGCTTTTTATAATAATAAAAGATTTGCCAACTAAGATAAGACCTACTATCTACTGTCACCAGAGTGGCTTTAAAAAAATGCAGTGGTTGTTTCACCTTTTATAAAGATTTTTCAAAAACCCAGACTTTGTTTTTGTAGAAGATGAGATCTATTTTGTCATCAGTTATCACCATGTAAACTTGTGTATGTGTGTCGTGCTTGAAAAAAGTCGTGTTAAACATCTCTTTGCAGCAGTACAGTGCATTTATTTTGCAATACAGAATAAACATGAGCAACAAAAACTGATTAACTTGAAAAACAAACAAAGAAATAGCCAACTAGACATTTGTATTCATTAGCTAAGCTTATCTCTAAATGTTGGTATAAACCTCATGTCTCCTTGAGAAAATCACAATAAGGATTCCCCCCCAGACAGAGCTTTACTTTTATTAAGAATCCTGTATGAAAGTCAGGTAAAATCAGCGTAAAATATGAAGTAATTAATAAAAATGCCACACGTCAGCCAATTGTCTGAATCAGTGCTTCAGACCATGTCCATGGATTCTCTTTGAATTACTCCAATTGCTGGCTAGGAAATACTGCTTGTGTAGTGACATGACTCACACATGTGCATTAAATCTTGAATCGCTATGGGTCTGATTAAATACAGTGCCTTCATTTTCATCGATTTCAATATCAAGTTAAAGATAATTTACAGATATATCAAGTTTAGAATTCCAAGAACAGGTCTTTTTTTCTGAATACTGATTTTCATCTTGGTCTTCTGTTCCACAGACAGAAGCGTTAGGAATAGAACAGAAATTGTTGGATCTTAAAAGGCTGATGAAGTATAACGTTTGGTAATAAACTCCTACTGTTTCTAACAGGCAAATATTAAATTTTATATAAAAGAGTTTGGCTGTATTTCAAGCATTTTCTGTCAAAATAGATGCTGCATTAAAAAAACTTTGGCGTAGATGGAATTGTTGATAGCAGGACACTTCTGGAGCCATTTTTCTTTAACTTCTTGGCTACACTGCTGATGTGTTTTTGAGTGAAAGCTGGTTCATGAATTCCAAGGCACTCCAAAGTTTTTATCATTATAAATATACGAAACAAAAAATATACGTACTTATCTTCGTATAGCATATTAGATATTGGATTTGTGTAGAAGGCTAACAGAAATGCTGCATCTACAAAATGAAGCACCTAAGAAAAAGTATTAGAAAATCTATTTTATGAAAGGGATAAGCTTAATTATCCTTTTGAGGCAAGAATTCTAATAACAGAGGTTGTACTCATCTTTCTGTGCATTTGTGCTGTTTGGATGCAGACTGTCCCATCTGGTAAACAAATGCGCAGAAATATTGTAGATGGAATATTTTTAGAGTGCTCAAAGAATCATGCTTCCCAAGGTGGAGCTAAAATTGGATCCTAAATACTCTTCCCAAGCCACTCTTGCTCTCCTCTCCGCTTTCCAACAGATATTTTCATGTCTGTTCATGTTCATTGCAGCCAGGATTCCAGTATTTCTCACGTCCCTGAGCCCTGCATCCCTAAACCTCTGGGTGGAGACCAGGGTGGTAAATCCTCCCCCACTGTGAGGACAGAGCAGGTCCAAGACCGCCTCATGAGACTGAATGTGTACAAGTCTATGGGGCCGGATGGCGTGCATCCCAGGGTTCTGAAGGAGCTGGCTGAGGTGGTTGCCGAGCCGCTCTCCATCATATTTGGAAAGTGGTGGCTGTCAGGTGAGGTCCCGGATGAGTGGAGGAAGGGTCACGTCACTCCCATTTACAAGAAAGGGAGCAAGGAGGACCCCAGGAACTACAGACTGGTGAGTCTCACCTCTGTGCCTGGGAAGATCATGGAACAGATCATCCTGGATGACATGCTTGATCACATGAGGAATGAGCATGTGATCCAAGACAGCCAGCACGGCTTCACCAGAGGAAGGTCATGCTTGACCAATCTGGTGGCCTTCTATGATGGTGTGATGGCATCAGTGGACAAGGGAAAGGCAACCAATGTCATTTACCTGGACTTGAGCAAGGCCTTTGACATGG